CCTCCCACTATTATAATTATTAATGATAGAAGTATTATCATTATTTTCAATTTAAAGAGATATTAGGAATCCCGGGGGGGGGACCTGCCTTTTTCGGGAATATTCAAACCAACCTCCTTCGGATTGTTTCCCGTCAGGTTATGAAAAAGCTGTGAATAGCCGGAAAGTCGCGAATGTTGAACAGTAAACTCGAATGTGCACACCAGTAAAATGATTCCATCAAGCTTCGAATAGTGGTGAGTAGCGGGAAAGTCGTGAGTTTTGAACAGTAAAGTCGAATGTGTACAACTCTGCCTCGTTCTCCATCCTTCACTTCGCACTCCCCACTGGCTGTGGTTGTCTTATCTCTGCCACTAATTTGCCCCGCTTCTCCCCCCCCCCATTTTTGGTCCGGACCCCTCCACCCCCCCCTCCCCTCCCCCCCCCTCCCCACGTACACCTCCTTCCCTCACCCATAAAAAATAAAGTGTGAACATATGGATGGAACGATGGATGAGTGGATAGATGGTTAGGCGGATGGATGGATGGATGGATGGTTAGGCGGATGGATGGATGGATGAATGGAAGGGTGGATGAATGGTTGAGAGGGTGGATGGTTAGGTGGATGGATGGGTGGATGGATGGATGGACGGATGGATAGATGGATGGAAGGATGGATGGATGGATGGATGGATGGATGGATAACAGAAAACAATACCTTAAAACGTTTTAACAAATACATTTTTTAAACAGAAAACAATAAGCAAGTACATTACGTTAAAACAACAAATTATACACTATTTAAACAGAAAACAGTACAGTACATTATGTTTAAAACAAATTATACACTATTTAAACAGAAAACAGTACAGTACATTATGTTTAAAACAAATTATGCACTATTTACACAGAAAACAATAAGGCATATTAAGATAAAACCCCCCCACGAATTATACACTATTTAAACAGAAAACAATATGATACGTTACGTTTAAAACAAATTATACACTATTTATCAATTAAACATAAAACAACAGGTCGTTTCCAGTCCGTGACCGACCTGATTCCGACCGATGACGTATCTCAAGGTCGTCTTCCACACTCGGGTTCCTCAACTTCCGGTCTAGCAACAGGAAGTAAACAACTTTCTCTGTGTTGTGTCTGCAGGGAGAGAGAGAGACATACATTTTGTGTGTAAGTGGATGTGTTGTTTTTGTTTCTTCTTCTTCTTCTTCTTCTTCTTCTTCTTCTTCTTCTTCTTCTTCTTCTTCGTTTTATTGTGTGTCTGTTCTGCTTCTTTGTTCGTCTGTTCGTTGCTTCTTTTACTTTTTGTTTTATTGAATATTTTACGTCCTTTTTCTTTCTTTCCTGCTTTCTTTATTTTTCTGTCTTTTATCTTTCATTCATTCATTCATTCATTCCGTCATTCAATGCTTGATCGATCGATTTATTTATTTGGTTGATTGACCGATTGACTGATTGATTGACTGATTGAATGATTGATTGATTGACTGATTGGGTTACTAATTAAACCATGTTTGAAGGACAAAAATGTCCGGTTGAGTTGCATGGGGTCCCAGTGTTGTCAATGCAGTCTCGTGTTGTATGTAAATTCAGAAATATAAATTATGGTCGCTTTTGAGGACAAGCGGGCTAACCCAGATTTTGGGGGTTTCCAGAAATCTTGGCCTACATCAAAAGTGGGCATTACCTTACCTATGGGAGAAGTTTGGTTTCAATGGTGTGTTTATTTGTTTGGTTATAGAGAAAACTCTCTTTGTTTTTTAATGAAACTAAACAAGGGGTACAAACTTGACCTTCGATTTTCTCAAAACAGCATTTTTCGGGATAACCCCCTTGTGCTTAAAAGCGACCATATATTGCGGACATATACACACACGCTGAGAGGGAGGGAGAGAGAGAGAGAGAGAGAGAGAGAGAGAGAGAGAGAGAGAGAGAGAGAGAGAGAGAGAGAGAGAGAGGGGGGGAGAGGGCGGAGAGAAAGAGAGAGAGAGGAAGAGAGAAAGAGAGAGAGAAAGAGAGAGAGAAAGAGAGAGAGAGGGAAAGAGAGAAAGAGAGAGAGAAAGAGAGAGAGAGAGAGAGAGAGAGAGAGAGAAAAGAGAGAGAGACAGAGAGAGAAGGAGAGAGAGGGAGAGAGACAGAGACAGAGACAGAGAGAGAGAGAGACGTACACACTCAGAGATAGAGGGAGACTAACTTTTCCTTTTCTTTGAAACACTGTAAAGAGTTCATGATGGACACACACACACACACACACACACACACACACACACACACACACACACACACGCACACACACACACACACATACACACACACACACACAAAGAGACTCACAGACAGACAGAAGAGGACTCACTTTGCATGGAGAAGCTCTGAGACTAACTTTTCCTTGTCTTTGAAGCACTGTAGAGAGTTCATGATGGACTCACACACACACACACACACACACACACACACACACACACACACACACACACACACACACACACACACACACAGACACACAAAGAGACACACAGACAGACAGAGAAGGACTCACTTTGCATTGAGAAGCTCTGAGACTAACTTTTCCTTGTCTTTGAAACACTGTAAAGAGTTCATTGTGGAGAGAACATCGGGGTCCAGGTCTTCTACTGACGGAATGATGGACGTCTGCGGAGAGGTCAGAGTTCAGGGGTCAGGGGGTCAGAGGTCAGGAGGCACAAGGTCAGGGGGTCACGGGGTCATGGATGGAGGGAGGGAGGGTGAAAGGGCATCGTAGGTTACCACAGAAGGTTTATAGAGGTTAGAGATGCAATGTTGCTATCACTGATTTCAATATATAATTCTCCCCCCCCCTCTCTCTCTCTCACTCTCTCTCCCTCCCTCTCTCCATCTCTCTCTCTCTCTCTCTCACTCTCTCTCTCTCTCACTCTCTCTATTTCTCTCTTTCTTTTTTTCTCTGTCCCTTTCTGTCTCTCTCATTCTTTCCCACTATCTCTTTCTTTCTCTCTCCCCCCTCCTTCTCTCTCTCTCTCTCTCTCTCACTCTCTCTCTCTCTCTCTCTCTCTCTCTCTCTCTCTCTCTCTCTCTCGTTGTAATTGTAGTATTATCAGATGTAGACGAGCAATGTTTCTTCAGCTACGAGTATGTGTGAATGTGTGTGTGTGTGGGGGGGGGGGGGGGG